GCTGGTTGATTGACCATATGATCTCCGCGCTACCTGAGTGCCAATAACGTTACGGTGTTTAATACAGATTGGCCACTCAGGAGATGGAAACTGAAACTTTCAATGTCTGCTGGAAAAAAAAAATCTGTGGCCAGAGGCAGCAGAACCCGACCGGAGGCTCGTTTGATGAGATCCATCGCTCTGCTGTAGATCCAGCTGTGAATCTCGTAAAGCAGCTTGGAGGAGACGCTTTAATGACTCAACTACGGATCACATTAAGGCCCGGTTGATGCACACGAACATCCGCTGACCTGAAAACAGGTTTTGTTCTTTGGTTTCAATGTAGAGTATTTATGTATGCTGTGTAATAACTGTAAAAAATAAAGATAACTACTTCACGGATTTCGCCTATTATGGGTTATTTTCGGAACGCAACCCCTAAGAAAAACAAGGGTTCGCTGTAAATGTAATGTTTACTTCATTTTTTTCTACAGCAGGACTTTTGTCAAAAAAGCGTAACAGGCTGAATTTCAAAAGGTTGTAAAAACTTTTTTTAATAAACATGTGTGGGAAAAAACAGTCCATGCATCCTCATTCAAACACATTCACTTAAATTTTCACTTTATGGTACATGTTCACATTCTTTATTGGCTGTATATCAAATATAATTTAAATGTAATGAAGATATGACATAATACAACATATAATATTCAATAAAATACAAAGACTTAAATCTTATTGTATAGACTAGGTCATCAAATCACTACGTTGCCTGTAGGAATTTTTAATGTCCAGCAGGTGTCAGTATTGAGCGACACAGTATCGACACAGTGTTGCTATGAGTCGAAACGCCTCATGACGCCTCATTTACCCATGCTAATGCTAATGCGGGTTATTAGCAGCTGTTTCTTTGGGTCTCCATCCCTCCTGTCGGTACCTGCAGGTAGCGGTAAAACAACACTGCCGCATTTAAGCTGTGACAGCTGGTGTTCGCACATATTTTATGGCCTAAAGCCTCTGACGAAAGCCGGTTAGCCAGTTGCTAACATGTAAACAAATGGCGGAGTCGCGCCATAAATCACGCAAAGCCTCATGGGAGATGGGAATAAGGTGGATAAAGTTTAATCACTGCTTCTTTAATGAAATGTTTCCTTTTTTTAAGTTTATTGTTTTATGTTTTTATAATAACTCACCTGGTTTCTCTCTGTCTACCTGGTTCTGGTCCGGTTCCGGTCGGGTCCAGGTCTGGGCTTCAGCATCGCGGGCGGCGTGGGGAACCAGCACGTTCCTGGAGACAACAGCATCTATGTCACTAAGATCATCGATGGCGGCGCGGCGCATCGGGACGGCCGGCTGCAGATCGGGGATAAGATCCTGGCTGTAAGTGGACCGGTTCTGGTTCTGGAGGCCCAGCGGGCCGGGTGTTCAGTGGTAACGGTGGCGCCCCCTGCAGGTGAACCACATGTCCCTGGAGGACGTCCTGCATGAGGACGCCGTGGCGGCGCTGAAGAACACCGGGGAGGTGGTGTACCTGAAGGTGGCCACGCCCACCGCCCCGTTCGGCCAGCAGGGGGAGCGCTACAGCCCGCCGGACCTCACCAGCGGTAGGTAGAGCCGGTTCTGGTCGGGTTCCGGCCCGCTGGACCTCACCAGGTATAGGTACTGCTGGTTCTGGTCCTCAGACTCTCTCTCCCTGCAGCCTACATGGATCCAGACTACCTCTGCGATTACCCAGCAGCCCTGGCGCCGCCGTCGCCTCGGCGATACTCGCCGCTGCCCCGCGGCATCATGGGAGAGGAGGAGTACTCCAGGGAGCCGCGGCGCGTCGGCATCCAGCGGGGGGCCACCGGGCTGGGCTTCAACATCGTGGGGGGGGAAGATGGAGAGGGCATCTTCATCTCCTTCATCCTGGCGGGGGGGCCGGCCGACCTGAGCGGGGAGCTGAGGAAGGGGGACCAGATCCTGAGCGTGAGTGGGGGGGGGGGGCCGATAATAGGGGTGGGGGGGCAGAAACTTGGGGGGGGGAGGGGGGCGG